CACAGCCCTCTCTGGGCTTCCTTACTGAAGGGCACCACAGCCCTCTCTGGGCTTCCGTACCCAAGGGCACCACAGCCCTCTCTGGGCCCAAGGGCACCACAGCCCTCTCTGGGCTTCCTTACCCAAGACCACACAGGAGAAGCCTTTCACTCTATTTCTGGCGGCACTTGCACCCGCGACAAGACCTAATCTCGCGCCCTTGCGTGTTGAGGGCCCTTTGGCTTTGGGAGGTGCCTCGGGGCTCCTACCCAGCCAGGTCTATGAGTGCGTTCTCTCGGGGGGCACTTACCCAAGGGCACCACAGCCCTCTCTGGGCTTCTTCCTTACCCATTAGCCAAGGGCACCACAGCCCTCTCTGGGCCCAAGGGCACCACAGCCATTTCTGGGCTTCCTCACCCAAGGGCACCACAGCCCTCTCCAGAGAGCTTCCTTACCCAAGACCACCACAGCCCTCTCCCTACCCAAGGGCACTGCAGTTTTGTCTGGGTTTCCTTACCCAAGGGCACCACAGCCCTCTCTGGGCCCAAGGGCAACCCAGCCCTTTCTGGGCTTCCTTATGCATGGGCAGCCCTGGCCCTCTTTGGGCCAAACGGCACAGCCCTCTCTGGGCCGCTTTGCCCACACCACAGCCCTCTCTGGGCCTCAGGGCACCACAGCCCTTTCTGGGCTTCCTTCCCAAGCAGCCCTCTCTGGGCTTCTTTACCCAAGGGCACCACAGCCCTTTCTGGGCCCAAGGGCACCACAGCCCTCTCTGGGCTTCTTACCCAAGGGCACTACATTCCTCTCTGGGCCTAAGGGCACCACGGCCTTCACTCTGGGCTTCCTTACCCAAGCAGCCCTCTCTGGGCTTCCTTACCCAAGGGCACCACAGCCCTCTTTGGGCCCAAGGGCACCACAGCCCTCTCCGGGCTTCCTTACCCAAGAGCACCACAGCCCTCTCTGGGTCCAAGGGCACCACAGCCCTCTCTGGGCTTCCTTACCCAAGAGCACCACAGCCCTCTCTGGGCCCAAGGGCGAGTTTTTCGTGTCACTTGCATCGCCGTGCTTTGAAAATGCTCGGGCAAGCCACAGCTTCTCGCAAAACGCATCTTTCAAGTTGGGTCGCGCGCCGGCGCTGCTGTAATCCACGTCAGTATACGAAAATATTTGTTGAGAAGCCACGTTATCTCCTTCCAGGCCGATGTCCTGCAGACGTTCCTCGAACGGCACCGGCGAGGAACTTCAGAGGGGTGCTTGCCTTAGCTTCTTCTGCCGCAGTCTAGAGCGATCGGCGACTGAAGAAGGCATGACGCATCATCATCCGGGCTGTTAGAACCCAGGGTGCAGATGTTCGTGCTACGGCGGTTGATGCCAGAGCAAAAGTTTGGCACGTTTCGGGTTCCACTATGCGTCGCTGGTTAATGCCAGAGAGAACGTTTGGCAAGTGTTGGTGATACTCGGCAGGGCAGGACAAAAGAATACACCGGGGGGGGGGGAGGTCGGTTACATAATTGGTGGAGTGCAAAAGTGGCAGGTGACGCTATCGTCATTGCGACGTGAAACATGGATAGAATATATCGCCCGAACACACTTGGGTGTTGTAAGTTTGACAGCAGAGCAAAAAACGCTTCAGGGAAGGGAGAGAGGGGGGTGGCCACAAAATGAACCGAGTACAAAAAGTGCGAAAACCATTACGGTCATCGCGAGGTGGAGAGGCACAAAATGACGTGGAGCCAAGGTTGGTGTGATAGCAGAAGCCAAGCAAGGTTCGCACGATTGCCAGGTACTTGACGCGATGCAGCCCGATGGGGAAGAGAGGGCGGCGAGAGAGGGGGGGGGGGGGGGGCAGGGCGGCCACGAAATTGGCGCAGTGCATAAGTTGCAGATGCCCGTATCAACATCATACTGTGACATAGGATAGAAAACACGTTAAAACATATCGTGTTGGTATAGCGACGCAGAGACTCGTTTCGCTCGGTTGCTGATTCGTGCCAGAAAGCTCGACGGGAAGGATGAACGCTTCGGGGGGGGGGGTCGGCAACGAAATTGGCCAAGTGCAAACTTGCAGATACCCGTACCATCATCGCAACTTTGAAATAGGATTGAGAACACGCCAAAACGAAAGTGTCCGGTATAGGGATGCAGAGACTACTCTCGCTCGGTTGCTACATTTATGCTAGAAAGTTTGACGGAGGAGGAAAAACAGTTAAGGAGGGGGGGGGGGGGTCGGCCACGTAATTTGCAGAGTGCAAAGGTTACAGGTTATTGTATCGTCATCGTTACAAGATGTCGAAGCCATCTTCGGGGAGGAAGAGCTGAGCTCAAGCGGGGTTTGAGTGAATTGCAGGTTTGAGCTCCAAGCTGAGTTTGAGGGAAGTAAAGGCCTGAGCCCCAAGCACGGTTAAATGAATCCAAGGCCTACGGTTTAAGGCTTGAGCCCCAAGTGGGGTTTAAGTGAATCGAAGGCCTGAGCCCCAAGCGGGGTTTTAATGAATTGAAGGCTTGAAGCCCCAAGCGAGATCTAAACGTTTGAAAACTTGAACGTTCATGTGCGTTTTGCTCTTGTTTGCAAGAAACAAGAATTGGTTTGGTTTTCGATTTGTTGAAATCCGGCCAAATCCAAAACGCACATTGGTGACGTCCTTGAGCCCCAAGCAGGCTTCAAGCGATCGAAGGCTTGAGCCGCAAGCGGAGTTGAAGTGAATCGAAGGCTTGAGCCCCGAGCGGGGTTTCAGTGAATTGCAGGCGCTGCCCCAGGCAGGGTTTGAGGCTTAAGCCCCAAGCTGGTTTTGACGGAAGCGAAGCCCCAAGCGGGGTCTGAGTAACATCGGGGCTTAAATTTTGAGTGAGATTAAGTTGTTGTGTTGTCGATACTAGTTTATGCTAGTCTAGATGTTCTGTTTGATGTTACATAAGAGCAACACATACATTTTACAAGAGTGCCGAGAGCATATCTTTTAGGGTAGAGCGTGATCGTCCAATACTCTTGTTGTCCATGTCATCACGGCAGCTGTTTTTCTCAACATCGTGTTCGCTTCCCTTGTCTTTGCTCATCGTGGCGGCCTCGGAAGTCGATCCTATCGAACTCTTGCGCATGCCTCCATCGTTCCAGGTCGCTATGGCTGAACTGCCCGGTCGCATTCTCGAGGGTTAATTTGTTCGCTCGTGTTTTTTTTCCCGCCGTTTCGTAAGGTCCCATTTATGCCGTGCCCATGGTGGACTTTTCACCCGACGGGCCGGAATTCGAGTCCTTGCCTCAGCTAAGTGTGAGTCTCGACTCAGTGGTTCTAACCGTCAGGGCGTTTTTGGGTTTGCGACTTAGGTATCAGCCGCAATTCGAGTCCTTGCCTCAGCTAAGTGTGAGTCTCGACTCAGTGGTTCTAACCGTCAGGGCGTTTTTGGGTTTGCGACTTAGGTATCCGGATTGGTGGACAATGACACACACGGCCAAGGCTTCAGACTCATTGTGAACGACTTGTGGATTAATTGCGTGGACAGGTTTATGATCGTGAACGCGACCTTCTGAAAGACATCGGCGAAGGCCGGTCTTTCTATGATCTCTGCCAGCTGGTATTGGACCATGTCACGAGGCGACTTCGTCTACGAAGTTTACGAGAAGGTTGGCTAGAAATATAATTGAATAAAAGTATAAATGCACTAGAGAAGTTTTACTTGTGCGAGGTTGAAGCCTGGCCAACAACATCATGCGACCCCTTCCGCATCGCCACCGAGCTGGTCATTGAGCACCGCTTGAGGCCGGAAACTTGCATTTGTGTTTTGCCTTTTCCCGCGAGTTCGATCGGCAGGGTGATGAAGTGGTATGCCCAGTGGCTGGAGCTGGACGATGTGCAAGGGCCTTACTATTCGACTGTTAGGGTGTTCATGCCTCTTCGGTGAGGCGCCAGCTGACGAAGCATGGGGCCGATGGATACATCCTGCAATGGATGCGGAAGCCCGCGCTGAAGAAGCGTCCGATGCTTAGAAAGTCACTGCCAAAACCGGCGATTCGAAGACTTGAACCATCGGGACGGCGGATGGAGGCGTGAGCGGATGCGAAGGCTCATCTTCCATACAAAAGGCGACCAAATACAAAATCACAATACACATATACAAACATATACATTCCTCTGGTTTTATAGGTATGTAGACATATATATATATATATATATATATATACAAATACAAAGAAAGAGTGAGATAGAGAGATTTCGTTTCGCAACTCCGCGGGGATTACTTTCTGCTGTTGTTGCTGCCTTTCTTGTATATATGTGGACGAGATGTTCGCTTGGCATCCGCGTGAGAAGTTGTGCTCCTGCAGTGTATTTGGTCCGGTCACAAGCCGCGGTCTTGCAGAGATTCACCACTGCTAGGACTTACGGAATTCGTCGGCTCGTGTCTGAAGAAATCCATTGTTCTGTGACATTGACACAAACCATTTTTTGTAAAAGGCCTTTTAGCTTCGAGCGAGATTTGAGTGAATTGAGGGCGATTTCTTGCGTGGTTCAAGTGAGTTGAAACAAGGCCTTATTTGTTGGGTTATGATGCAACGCAAGTTCAGGTGAATTGACCTAGCCCCAAGCGGGATTTAAGTAAATCCAAGGCCTCAGTGCCAAGTGCGGGTATGAGTGAAGTCAAAACTCGAGACGACACAGGTTGGCAGATTAGTTGAATCAGTGTGATGCACGGTCGACCTGAGAGCATACTTTTTGCGGCTCAAGAGTGCAGTCGGACATTTCTAGGGTCACAATCTCCGCCGCACGCGTCTTGCTTCGTGCTGCACTCGACCCCGTCCTGTGTGGCTTCGGAGGTTGGAAGGCATGGGGCTGTGAGGCAGCAAGGTTTGGAGTGCAGGTGCGCAGGGTTCTCTGTGGGGTTGCTGGGTTTCCTTCAGGGCTTTAGGTCCCGAGCCCTTTGGGTACCCTAGGCTGCCTTGCGTCCGGGATCCCCGGCCCTCCTCCCCGGCGCCCAGGTCTGGACCTCGTCGCTTCGCTTCGACTCGCCGGACCCTCCCCTGCCAGGTTTCAGGGAGTTCCGAGGTGGTTTGGGTTTTCGTAGGCTGCAAGGTCGGAGTGCGCGAGGCTTGTGGTTTTGTTCAGGGTGTGGCTTCGGAGGTTGGAAGGCATGGGGCTGTGAGGCAGCAAGGTTTGGAGTGCAGGTGCGCAGGGTTTTCTGTGGGGTTGCTGGGTTTCCTTCAGGGCTTTAGGTCCCGAGCCCTTTGGGTACCCTAGGCTGCCTTGCGTCCGGGATCCCCGGCCCCCCTCCCCGGCGCCCAGGTCTGGACCTCGTCGCTGGGGATTGGCGTGGCAGCGGTGGTCTTCTGGGCAGCAGAGTATGTCGCCGAGCCCGGGGATGGTCACGGTCCACTCGTTCAGCTCGGCCACGTCGGTGAGCTTGACGTCCCCGGCGAGGTCGCCGTAGAGCCCCAGGTACTTGTCGATGCTCAGGATGTCGTGCAGACGTTCGGTTGTCTCGGCGTGGGTCCTGTCGTTGCTGGGGGGACCCTGGATGAGCCTGCGCCAGCGGATGGGGCCCGCGGCCTCGGCGTCGGCCACGCGTGTGTGGATGCATGCGCAGCAGAAGCAAATGATCGCTTCCACCCTGTCTTTGCTGGTGGCTTCGGCGAAGCTCCGCAGCGCGCTTCTGTCCCGCGAGCTTCCTGCCACGGGTGCGGCCTCTCTGCACCGCAGGGCTATGGCTTCGTTGTAGACGCTGGCCAGTGCATCGGCCGGGATTGGCTTGGGTAGGTGCTGTGCGACGCTCTGCAGTGCTGTTGCGTGCTCTTGCTGGACGTGCTCTCGAAGCTCTTGCTCGGTGCCCGTGAGCAATGACCAGTTGCAGCTCTGGAAGGCGCAGAACTGTCCTGGCCAGGGTTCCCCACGGTCGAGGTCTTCGGGCCTGGCTCCGGGCGGTATCAGCGGCTGGGCTCGCAGCTGGGTGTGTGCGAGGTGCCGGAGAGCCTCTTCCAGTTTCCGCCGGGGGTGGCTGCTGTCCGGCGCCACGGGCATGCTGGTGAGCTCTTCCAGGAGGTTGGGCTCGTCCTGCGCCTCTGGCTCGGGCGGTCGTGTCGCCGGCTTCGACGGCGTCTTGCGCGCCTGGGCCTGTTGATGGGCCTCCTCTCCGCCGGCGGCGGTTCTTCTGCGCTTGGCTGGGCGCGGAATCGGGTGGGGTGGTGGTGGTGGTGGTGGTGGCGGCAGTGGTGGTGCTGGTGGCGCTGCTCGGTCTATGGGCACTAGCAGGTCGTAGTGGTCCCTGCCGTTGTACCAGAGATGGATCACTTCCGTGGCGTTCGGTGCTGCGTGCGGCCCGCGTTGGGCTGCTTCGTCCACGTCCGAGTGCGTGCGCTCGCTCGTGAGGATGTCGCCGTTTGGCGTCCGCCAGTGCAAAAGGACTCGCTGCTGCCTCATGCGGGTGAAAGCGATGATGGCCGTGTCGCCGCCCCAGTGACCCGGATCGCTTTGGAGGTACTGGCTTTCCTGTAGCCAGGTCTGCACTTGCTCTTCGTCTTCTTCGGATTCTGCGTTGTCTCTGAGGTACTGGATGATTAGGGCTCGGAGGCATGCCCCGTTCTCGCCGGTGTTCTCTCCGAGCGCGTGGAAGAGGCAGTTGCCGTCGCCTGACATCTTCTTGATGGCCAGCATGCCCCGAAAGTGCTCCTCTCGGGTGCATTGTCTGCTTGCTTAAAGAGCGCTCTTGATAGTGGATGTTCGAGGGAAAACGCCGGCCTCGACGCTTGGTCCGGGCTCCGTGTCGTGGTCGGAGTCCGCCTCGGCCCCCCCTCGTCGCGCGGCCGGTCCTTCGTGAGATGGTTCAGCGGCATTTCTTGCGAGCTTTGCCGCTTCCTCGGCTTCGTTTCTTGGCGGTGTTGCCTCGGCGGCTCTGTCGGCCTGTGCACACAGTGGGACTAGACGCTTGCCGGGAGGTGTTGTGCGCCTTTGGGGTGTAGCTTCTCTCCGGTGCCTCTGCTCGCTGGAAAGCTCGATCCAGGGCTCTCTCGTCGTCGGCCGTCCATCGTGGCTGGCGCGGCAGTGGCTTTTTGGGGGCCTGCAGGTCACGATGCCGCGTACGGCTTGCTTTCTTTTTTCTATGTCTTTTCTCGTGGCACAAGTCCTTACTTGCATTCCGGCCGTGATGCCTTCTTCCGTCGGGGTGTTCTTGGCTTCGCGCCGGAGGGCGGGGTCGTGTCCCGTCGAGGTGCGGTTGTCGGGGAGGTTTTCCAGGCCTCGTGCGTGCATGCCCGTGTGCTTTCCTGGGATTTCTGAGGGCGACGGCACGAGGTGTCAGCGCGCCTCGTCGATCTTGATTGTTCCGCCCTCGGCCGGTGGGTTCGGTGCGCAGTTGCGCGACATACATGCGTGTATACACGGGTTCTCTCTTCGGAGGCTCTGGGGCATGCACGGGCGTCAGAAGTGTCAGGCTGCATCTCCTCGCCAGGTAGTCCTTCTTGAACGCTTCGAAGTCCCAGCCGGTCGCCTCGTGGTTCGGTGCGCTGAGGCCGTTGAGGTTTCGGGCGGGGTCGGGCCGTCTGCGCGTGTCGCATGCGATCCCGCCTGATCGTCGTCGTCTGTCATGTCGGCCCACCGTCGGCTGCTTTCGGGCTGCATGATGGCTTTACCTGCAGGGGCGGGGGGGGGGGGGCGAACCGTGACTGCTCTTTCTCTCTTACTGTCGGAAGCAGCTTCGGCCTAGATGGTTCTTCAGGAAGCGGATTTCTGCTTTGGAGGCTCGATCACGAATTGGGCTGCGGTGCCGGGTTAAGGTTGGTGTGCTCTTGCTGCACGCACGATGTCAGCGTCGTTGGCTTGCTGCTTGCAGCCGAATCCTCTTTTTCCTTCTGCTGCTTTAGCTGCCAGTCGCGATGCTCTTTCGCAGCCGGCGCACGGCAGAGGTTGTGTGAAACGAACGACTCTTTCCCAGCTCTGTGCTGTCAGCATGTCTCACATGTCATGGGAAAGGACCAACGTGAGCAGTGGCCCGTCTGACGTCTTGCGCATTGCTTGGTTGCGAGTCCGCAGGCGGCCCCGGGCTGAGGAGCCTTGTCGGGTTCGCCGCTCGGGTATGCGCCCCGGTCAGCGGAGATGTCGTGTGCGCTGTGGGCGTGGTCGCTTCGCCTCTGGCCGCTAGTATGCATTCTATTATCGTTGCTGGTGCCTTGTGCAGCGCAGCTCGGTCCAGGGCGGCAAGCTCGTCGAAGGTGAGATTCGGATCGGCCTTGGCGTGGAGGAGTGCTTGGGTGGCGGCGACGGAGCCGCTTCTGACTGCGAGGTTTAAGGCTGTGCACTGACTCTCGGCATTGGGTACGAGACAGAACTCACCTTCCAGGAGGTGTCGGCCGACGCGTGCATTTGCTGGGCATCGCATTTCTAGTAGCCAGCACACGTTGCGGGCGTTGCCTGTGCAAGCTGCACTGCACAGGCTTGCGGTGAGGACCTGCATTCCGGGGGTGCTGTCGCTTACATATTCTAAGGGGATGGCACTTTTGTTCGCTGCCGCTCGCGCGACTTGCTGCATGCACTCCGGGTCTGAGTGAGCTGCTGCTGCGCAGGCTAGGGCCACGAGGGTTGCTAGGCTTCGAGGGTTGGCTCCGTAGGACCAGTCTGGGTGGCTTGGGTTTTGGGCCCAGCTGGTCGGGTCCTCGAGCATTCGCGTGGGATCGGCTCGGGCTGCCAGCAGCATCGTGATCTTGCCTGGATGTGGACGGCCCTGTAGCAGGTTTTCGGGGTGGTCGTGGCATGCTATGTCCAGGGGCCGCCAGGGATCCGCGGAGCCGCCCAGGTCGGCCCGGTGCTTTAGGAGCGTCTCCACGTGGCTGCTTGGCGCATATCTCACGGCGAGGGCCAGCACGTCTTTGTTTTCGGGTCGGTCCAGTTTTGCTTTGGCTTCCAGCAACGTTCGTAGGGCAGGCAGCGACCAGGGTCTGTTCTGGTTCAGCATGAGAAGTTCCAGTCCCGAAGTCGGCGTCGGGTAGAATTGCTGGAAGACGGTGTTGGGGTCCAGTGGCCGCCAAAGTATTTTTTTCAGCTTCGAGGTGTTTCTGTTCCACAGGGCCAAGCGGAAGTCTTCCGACTCCCTCGAGCCGTCGTGTATCTGGACGTAGGGCAGGAAGACGGCCTGCACGGTTGATGTGGCATCGATGCGTAGTCTCCCGCCCTGCAGCCTTCGTCCGGCGTGCAGTAGCCTTATGGTCTGCTTCGGTGCCGGCGTGGCGCAGCAGTACTCCCCTACGTACGTCGCCAGCTTCCTTGCTGTCCGATGCCGCCGTGCGTCTGTTTCGCCCAGGAGTTCTCCACTCAGCATGGTGATGCGCAAAGGCCCTGGCGACGATGCTTTCTTCAGTGTTCGTCGTGCAAACGGCCCCGGTCTGGGAGTCTTCGTCCTCGCAGCATCGGCCATGGCGTGTCCGGGGTGCTCTGCGGTTGTAGGCACCCGCGTGCTTTAGGGTGACCGGCCCTCCGTACGTTTGTGGGACCTGCTCGCTACAGGTGCTGCTATGCGTGTGAGTACATCGTTCCTGTGGCTTTGCCGTCGTGCCGGGTTGCTTGTCGTTGAGCTGTGAGCCTGTTGCCGCCTTGCTGACTTGCTGCTGGCGAATGGTGGCCGCGGCCCGAGGTGTCCGGTCGCGCTCTTGCCTGGGCCGGCTGACATATGACTGCGAGCAGGCCTGCGTGTGTCTGGTCGTGCAGCGGCTCCAAGTCTGGCTTGTGCGGTTCGGCGAGTGCTTTGGCGCCTATGCTGGGCATGACCGTGCGCCTGCTGCCGGCTCTCTCCTTTTTTTGCCTTGCTGCGGCTCTTCTGGTCTCCGGGGGTGCTGTACATCGTGCGCTTGCCGCTCGGTCCCCTAGTGTAGCTGGTGCTCGAGACGCTGGTGCTCGGCCGGCCTGTGCACACGGCACCTACTGCCTTTCACTTACGTCTACGAGTCGATGCACGTGGCCCGGGCTTGGGGCTCGGCGGCCTTTTCGGTTTCCGGCGGCTGGCTTCCTTCCAGTGGACGACAACTTCCACGTGTGCCATCTGGGCGGTGATGCTGTGCTCGAGGATGTTGCTCCAGCTCCAGTCGTCTGTGATCACGTTCCCGTCTAACATCAGCTTGGTGGCATGCAGGTCGATCGGCCCGGTGCTGCTGCTGTCCAGGTCGTGGAGCAGGACTTCTCGGGGGCTGCGATGCCGTAGCACCTCTGCGGGCGGGGGCTTGTTGGTGTGCTGCCGTATTGTGCGCAGCTCCGGGAGGGATAGAAACCGGTCCCGATGGTTTCCTGGTTGCAAGGGGGCCTGCTCGCGAAAACGGTAGCTTGGGTAGGGTCTCGAGGTGTGGAGTTCACCGCCTTTTGCGTCCGTGTAGGTCACCGTCATGTTCGGCATGATTGCGTCCTCGAAGCTCTGGATGTCTTCGTCGGTCTGTCTCTGCATCTTCTTGCGGCTGCTCTCCATTTCCGAGTTCTCGTAGTCGTCCGTGAAGCACACCTGGTCGGAGTCGCGGGTGGAGGGGTTCGAGGAGGGGGATTCCTCGTCCATGTCGTCGGACATCCTGGTCGTGGCGGTCGGCCTCAGGAGCACCGGTTGCTGGACGCCCGCCGCGTTTCATCTGCGGCGACGTGCGCGTGCTGAGGTCTGCGCGGGAGCACGGGCGAGCGCAACCGTTCGAGAGAAGATGCTGCGGCGGCCGCGTGCGAGGAGATGCTGTTGGGGCGGGATGTGTTGGGCATTCGTGCAAGGCTACCTCGCTGGCATGCTAGCCGGGTCTGTTTGGGGTTCGACCTGTGCGCTGTTTTCCTTCTGCCATCCCTCGCCATGGTCTTTGCAGCGAATCGTGCCCGCTGGCTCGTGCGGGTCCGTGTTCTGCCTGGGCGGGTGCCCTGCATGCCGATCCAGCCCGTCCCGCAGCTTGCTAGCCAGCCAGCCAGCCAGCCAGCCAGCCAGGCACGGTTTTTTCGGTGTCGCATGTAGGCTCTCCGTTCAGTCTGTCCCCCACGGTCTCGGCCGCGACCTGTGCTGCTTTTGCTTGTCTGCAAAAGCGATCGGCCTCCTGGTGTCGTGTCTGCTTTGGAGCTGCTATTGTACCGCATGGGCGATGCTGATGGCCGGTGTCGGCGCTGAGGAGCTGTGCTCGCGGTCGGTCTGGGCGGTCGGTGTGAGTTTCGCCGCTTCCTTGTTTGCCTGGTTGCGGCGCCATAGTTGTTGGTCTGCAAGTGCTTCCTGCATGTTTCTTCTGCCTGCGTTCTCGAGTGCTCTCTGGAAAAGGAGCTTTGCTGTTGATGTGGGCATCGCGTCCGGGTTTCCCGGCTCCGCTAGCAGCGGGTTGCAGCGGGCCTGGAGGAGCATCATCACGTTTGTCGTATGACCTCCCCATGCGGCCAGGGCGAGCGGTCTGCGTCGGTTGGCGTTCGGGGCTTCCATGTCGGCCCTGGCATTCAAGAGCTTGCGTACTATCGCGGTACTGCTCTTGCGTGCTGCTGCTGCGAGGGCCGTTGTACCATTGCGGTTGCGCGTTTCCAAGTGGCAGCGGGCTGCGATCAAGAGCTCCACTGTCCCTTCTTGTTGTCGCTGTGCTGCCTGCAGCAGCAGGCCGTGGTCTTCGTCCGTGTTGGCGTTGACCCGAGCTTCGAGCAGGAGTTTCATGTTTTCCGTGCGATTTGCTTTGGTTGCGGCTTGCAGGGGCGTCGTCGTGGGGAACGTCTTGATGCAGTTCGGGTCCAGCGGGCGGCTCAGGAGTTGCTCTAGCCTGAACGTGTTGGAGCTTCGTGCGGCCGCGATCATTTCTGCCGTGGTTTTGTGGTCGGCCTGGGTGTACTGTAGTTTGATCATCTGCAGGTCGGCGGGGGCGGATATGAGAGCCTCGTCGTCCAGGGGACCGTCTGGCCCCAGCAGTTTCTGCCGAAAGCGTGGGAGTCCTGTCTCTCTCTGTAGCCGGCCTTTGACCACTCGCGCTTGTTCCGGCGCCTCGAGCGTGGCTTCCAGCAGTTGTTGACCGGCAAGATTGACCACGCGTAGGAGAAGGAGCTCGTGGCTTTTCCGCTTCGTGGAGCCTACGCTTGCGTCCTCTGAGGGCTGCAAGGCCATGGCCGCCGATCGCTTCCGCTCGGATTCGAGCCCTGTTGCTTGCGGCATTGTTTGGGGCGTCGAGGGCTCTTGGTGTGCCTGTCCGCCAGCTCTTCGTCGTGCGGTTCGTGCTCGCCTCCGTCCTATCTTTCTTGCATGCGGTGCTCCTGTGACCACGCTCGCACTTTTTCCCTCCTTTTGGCGCCCGAGGCTTGCGAGTGTCCGGCACTAGTCTGTGTGTTCGTCCCGCACGTTGTCGTGCACCCTGCTTCTGCCCTTTACGAGGTCTGCGATCTCCTTGTCTAGTAGCTCGACCTGCTGCACCCACGGTTCTTGGCCGTTGTCGGGGTGCGTTCCAACGATGTACATCTCTGTCACGATCTTCCGGTAGTGCCTCTGCAGGATCCATCGGTACATGTTGAGCTGCAGGTGGTAGTGGGTGAGGCTGCTGTCGCGCAGGTGCTGCAGAGGGGGTTTCATGTAGCGGTTGAAGTGCTCTCCTCGGCTTGCTATTCTGCTGCTCCGCTTCCAATCCACGAGAGCCAGGCTGCCGTCGGCCTGCTGTAGGACGAGGTCGATGCTGCCGGCTACGTCGATGTCGTCGGCGTAGATCTTCCATTCCGTTCTGTAGGCCGTCGCGTGTCGCACGCTGTCTAGGAACTTGAAGAGCAGGCTTATCTCCGGTGTCATCGCCTTGACAGTCCCTCCGTTCAGCAGGCACTCGAACTGGGCGTGCATCCACGTCCCTTCTTTGGCTGCTTTGTCGCGGGCGGCTTCCCATTTTCGTTTCACGTCGTCACTCGGCATAGCGAGGGCGCGCAGCGCGGCTGCGTGTGGCGGGCCTGCCTGCTGGAGGGCCTCCTGCAGTTCTCGGTCCAGTTCCCCGTCGTCCTGGTCGCTCTGTTCGAGCATCGCCAGGATGCGGGGGCCCCTGGCCAGTTGGCCGATCTTGTCTCTCACGTCCGGTGGCGGGGTGATGCTGAGGTAGCCGGCTCTGGGCCAGTGGGCGCCTTCCATCATGTTTTGGAGCGTCTTGTCCGCGTCGAATCCCGCGGCGTATCCGTGGATTACCTGCGTCACGGACTCTCGCACGCGTCTGGTCTTCCAGAAGTAGGTGTGTGTTGTCTCGTCGAAGCGAAGGTTCACATCTCTCGTGTGGGCGTTCACGTGCTGGAGCCTGTCCGCAACGAAGTTGCCTGGTAGGTCTGGCGGCAATGGTCCTTCTCCGCGAGCTGGGAAGTCTGTCGGTGCGTTTGGGCTTCTGACCAGGTTGAGCGGCAGCAGGTGATCTAGGCCCTCGGTGAGCAGGCTGACCTTGTGCTCTTCGTGCTGGGGCTCCGCGTCTGCGTTCTCCGTCTCCGTGCTGGACTGCTCGTGGCAGGGGACGTCGGCCTCCATGTGCTTTGCGTGGGCGATTGTACGGTGGGGCCGTGGTGGCGTGGCAGTGCGCGGAGCTTATGGCGGCGGCGGCGGTGCTGGGTGGTGCCGTCGCCTGGCAGGCCTCCTAGCTACGGTGTCTTTGCGTCGAGGGCGCGGCTGCCTAGGTCTTATTCTGGCCCTGGCGCTGTCATGCGTGCGGCGCCCTTCCTCTGCTGGCCCTGCATCCTGCCCCGCGGCCGCCCCTTTTTCTGTCTCTCGCGTGCTGTTGCCCATTACTGTACAGTCTGCGCTAGCTCTCAGGGGGCTGTGCCGGCGCTAGACTGGGTGCAGGCTTATGCTGGGTTTTTGCCCGGGGCAGCCGTCGTGCTCGTAGTTCAGCATGATGGGGACGTAGCACGGGATGCTGTAGGATTGCGGCGTTGGCCGGGCTTGCGAGCTTTGCGGTTGGGGCGGGCCGTCTGCTGCCAGCGGCTGTGCCCGATCCCCGTCTGCTCTGGCGCTGCTTGCTGGTTGTGGTGGCGCTAGTACTGGCTGCCACTTGTAGACGAGCTCGAACCAGGTTCGACACGGGAAGCGGTGGTAGCGGCATCGTTCTTTGAGGGTGTCCTGCCACCACTTGAGCTGTTCTTGCTCCAGCTCGTGGTACATGACTGCCTGGACGAATTGCTGGACTTCTTCGTGTAGGCTGTAGTAGTAGGCTTGCCCGTCAGGTTGCTGCGGCTCGCCTTCGGTCGCAGCAGGCGCGGTGTTTCTGGGGCTTGGCGCTGGGCTTCTGAGGCCGATGCTATATGCAGGGTCCTGAGGCAGGGGCTCCGTGCCGCGTCGGCGCCGGCCGCGAAGGGTTGGATTGGGATCGTCTGGTGTTGCGTGGCGTCGGAAAAGGTCCTGGTGGCGTTCCTGAGGCTCGAGCAGACAGAGATGCGTTCGCTCTCAGGGGCCGCCTCTCGCCTGAGAGCCTTGCCGCTGCTGGCTCT